GACTAGACTAAGTTACTGGAATAAGACTTATTCTTATGCATCTGCTCTCCCACAATATGGCGCTGGGAGGAGGAGTAAACGGCTTCTACGCAGCTGTCTCTCGCCAACTTGAGTGATGACCTGCAGGAGCTGATCCTGCTCCTGATTGGAGGAGAGCAGCGTACTCGGCGTGTGGGTAGCAGAGTTGGGATTGGTGGAAGAGGACTATAAAGGAGGAGAGAGACAACATGCACCAGGAACATCTATCTGAAGGAACACCTGTGCAGCCCCCGAGAGAGCCGGCCGGCGGTGTGCCACTCCCCCGTAGAAGTGGGGAAAGTGGCAGGGGGAACCGCCCTTCCACGGAGGTGGAAGGGACGGTAGCCAACCCGGGAAGAACCAGCAGCAAACCCGGGGAGGGCCGAGCAGACAAAAGAACAGCACAGGGTCCTGTGTCGTTCCTCCACAAAGAGGGGGAGCGACATAATGGTGCCGTGACTCGGATAGGAAACCTAGGCAGGGTTTAGTGTCGTTCCTCCACGAAGAGGGAGAGCGACATTTAATAATTACAGTTTACAGTATATTGATAATAAGGGTTATTTCCCTTACACTTTACTTCAGTTAATCCACTGAGACCTTAAGAATTTGTATATGTAAAAACCATAACTTTTGGGGGTAATTTCTATTTTGAAAATATGTCCTTAGAAAAAGGGATACCTTGCAAACAGGCAAGTCAAAACTGGAGACAGCATTTGAAAGATGAGCATTCAGATTCTTTGAACTTCTGAAGTTTCTTCCATGAATGAAAAATTAAGGGCCTTTTTTCCCTCTAAAAAATTTATTTTTGGGGTATAGTTATTCCATATGGTTTAGTATCTTTCTCCTGATTCCTAAATTCTAGTTTTCTCTAGAAAACAATAGAGGAGAAAAGGTTTTTTTAAGAAAAAAAGAATGTGAACAGGTGATTTTTTAAGAAAAACTTAGAACTGGTGTTTTCTTTATCACACTTACAAAATATAAATGATAGTATTTCTGATCTTGGTTCCTAGAAACAAACTAAATTTGTTTTGTCTTCAGAAATAACTTAAGAAACACTAACTTGTGAGCTTTTCCTGTTTGTAATGCAGATATGCCAAGCAAGGAAGTGGATGTGCTGTGTGAACAGGACCGGGCCATCTCCCCACTCCTTTTTGAAGACAGCCCCCCTGACTTGCAGCCTTTGCAAGGGAATTCTGGAGAACAAAACAATCCTCAAATACTCCACAACTCCGTTGTTTTTGGAACATCAGCAGAGGAAGTGGTAAAGGAAATTCGTTTCAGAATCAAGCAAAAAACAACACTGACAGCCAGTGCAGGTATTTAAAAACATTAAAGACTTTCAAACTGGCTAATTCAGTATAATAGTGTAGTTTCTTATTATGAAACATCTAATGGTATTTAACATACTCATTCTTTGATTTGACTTCTAAGAGCTTTACCTGTCAGAATAGCTGTGAACATATAGATGATATGTTACAGTTAAGCAGAAAAGGCCGTAAACCCAAAAGAAAAACTGTCCTAAAATATCAGGTAGCTATCCTTTTTTGAGCACGAAATATATTTTATTGGCTTTGCATGTAGGTCATGATGATGATTTTTGATTGGAAGACTTCGGTTCTGTCCAAGAATATGTTGCAGGGGAGAACCCGGGTGGCCACCAGGTAGGAGACAGAAGAATCGCCATGGAGCAGTGCAGCAACTGTGTCAGTGACCCGTGAGGACATCACTGTGTCTTTGTGTGGTGACCGCCGCTCATCACAAAGACTGTAAAAGCTGCACCCTGATTAGGCTAATCCTTTATTTCTGGGCCAAAGCATGAATAATCGGTTCTAGGAAGATGTGTATGGAAATTGAAAGGGACTGTTTAATGAATATATATTTGATTATACCTGCTTCAAGTTGTCTTAAACATCCAGACTTATAGAAATTGTAAAACATTATTCTGATAAGTAGTCCTTTCCTTTGTGAGCAACATAAAGAATGAAAAAACTTAATTATCATTATTTTAAATATATTGTAACCCAGAATCTTTGACTTTTTTTCTCTTTGTGGATAATCTCTATATAAGATTTTTTCAAAGAGTAAACATCCATCCTGAACTCTGAATTTTTTGGGGAAGTAGGTAGAATCGCTATAAAACAACCCTGTAAATCTTACTAAAGATAATAAGTAAACAAATAATAATACTTGGTATTAGCTCAGGGAATGAGTATTTAGCCTCGCTGTTAAGACGCTCATGTCGCACATGGGGGTGCCTGAGTTAGTCTCCAGCTCTGGCTCTGCAGACCCTGGGAGGCAGCAGTGATGGTGCAAGTGACCTGGGGAACCTGGGGAGGCTTCTCAGCTCCCATCTCCCACCTTGGCCCAGAGCTAGCCTTTGCATGCATTTGGGAGTGAATTAGCAGATGGGATTTTTCCCAGGCTCTTTCTCTGTGTCTCTGAATTTAAAAAATATGTATTACTCAACTCTGAAATTACTCTTAGATTTTAGAGTATGAAAAATTAAATATTCTTTATCTCTGCTTCACCAAATTAGTAAAATTCCTTTTCCTAAAACCATAGCAAGCCCTGGTAAATGGTAATCAAACTTTATTTTTAAAGTAGTATTACATGTCATTTTGTAAGATATACAGATTTTTTGCATTTAAGGTGTTTTTCTGTTTTGTAATTACATATTTAAAAGTTGTACATATCAACAGAATTTTCTTCTTTTAAGGCATTGCCCCAAATACAATGTTAGCAAAAATATGCAGTGATAAGAATAAACCAAATGGACAATACCAAGTTATCCCCAACAGACAAGCTGTGATGAACTTCATCAAGGACTTACCCATAAGGAAGGTGAGATTTTATAGACAATGTTTCATCTACATGTTCACTCTTCAATTCTGAAGAGAAACTATGTAGGCTGATAATAATTCTACGCTGGCAGATTTTGAAACCATAGATGACACAGCAAGAACCATAATGGCTGGTTGTATTTAGGTTTGAAGGAATCATTCTTTTTTTTTTTTTGACAGGCAGAGTGGACAGTGAGAGAGAGAGAGACAGAGAGAAAGGTCTTCCTTTTGCCGTTGGTTCACCCTCCAATGGCTGCTGCGGCCGGTGCACCGCGCTGATCCGATGGCAGGAGCCAGGTGCTTCTCCTGGTCTCCCATGGGGTGCAGGGCCCAAGCACCTGGGCCATCCTCCACTGCACTCCCTGGCCACAGCAGAGGGCTGGCCTGGAAGAGGGGCAACCGGGACAGAATCCGGCGCCCCGACCGGGACTAGAACCCGGTGTGCCGGCGCCGCTAGGCAGAGGATTAGCCTAGTGAGCCGCGGCGCCGGCCTTGAAGGAATCATTCTATGAAGCGTTGCAGGTTTGGTTCAGGAAGCTTATTTGCTAGAAATGTTGAAGGAGTTAATAGATGACAGAATTTAAGTGGACTCCTGCCATGGAAAGGAAAATAAAAAGAATACTTGGAAGAGCCTGTTCAGCTGGAACTAGATTCTGTCTCAGTTCTCATGCCCAGGTTGCTGCCAGATCAGAGAGATTCAAATTATTATAGTTTTTGACAAAATAAACCAAAATACTTGAGCATCTTTAACATGATAAAATTATCCCACAGGGGTTCCAGAAGAAGTTTTATTAGGCTGTAGAGCTTCTAGATTTCTTTGCATATATACATATATACAGACACACACACACTTTTCTTTTTGACAGTGATTGCTGTGCACACTATGTGGTGTTAGAGGACCTGCTTTTCTCACTCCACATGGTGTCTATGAATGAATGTTCTCTGGGTGTATTTCTAGCCCAGGGGAAAGGCTCTCTCGAAGGATATACAGAGTCTCTAAAATGGTTACTGATTATGTCAGGTATCTCTGGAGAAGTGTATTCCAGTATGTTTTTCAGTGTCTAAATAGTGTTTCGTTAGCAAAGCTCTGAGTCAAACAGCTGCAGAGTGAACTACCCTTGGGTGGGACACTCTGTATATGGCTACATTAGAAATACATCAGTTGTGTAGTACAAGTTCCATTTAAATTTGTTTATCCCACCATTCTTCAAGGTTATAAGATTACAGAACTCCTTTTTTAAACACCTATTAAAATTCCATGAAACACTACTTTTGGAAGTGTGGTCAAAAAGTAATTAAGGGGCCGGTGCTCTGGCGCAGCGGGTTAAAGCCTTGGTCTGCAGCGCTGGCATCCCATATGGGCGCCGGTCTGAGTGCTGGCTGCTTCACTTCCAATCCAGCTCTCTGCTATGGCCTGGGAAAGCAGTAGAAGACGGCCCAAGTCCTGCATCCGTGTAGGAGACCCAGAAGAAGCTCCTGGCTCCTGGCTTCAGATCAACGCAGCTCTTGCGTTGCAGCATCTGGGGACTGAACCAGTGGGTGGGAGACTTTTGTCTCTCTACCTCTGCCTCTCTGTAACTCTGCCTTTCAAATAAATAAAAAGACTTAAAAAAAAAAGTAATTAAAACAGTTTTATTGTAGCACTTGTGAAGATGGTCACATTATTCATATCTTTTATTTATTATAAAAGGTATAATGAGATTATAACCTCAGTTCTTACCTTAATTTTAAAAATTAATGATAAACATTGATTTTCTTCTAGGTTTCCGGAATAGGAAAAGTTACAGAGAAAATGTTAAAGGCTCTCGGAGTTGTCACTTGCACAGAACTCTACCAACAGAGAGCATTACTTTCTCTACTTTTCTCCGAAACGTCTTGGCATTATTTTCTTCATGTCTCCCTGGGTCTAGGTTCAACACACCTGGCAAGGTATCGTTAAGTGTAGTTGTCCTGACTTCGCTTTATCATTTGGTGCTGAAATACTAGTTTTAATCATCGAGATGGAGGCTATAAATATAGATAACATGGTTTTTAAACCGTTTCAGACAAATTAATTCAGGATATAACCTGTGAATTAGAGTCAACAGATTGCATGTGTGGAAGGAAAAGACAGGTGTAGGTCACTGTGAGGCCACTGGCTTTTGGGTGGATGAACAAGAGGATGTACAGCTGCTTTCTCTCCTGTCCTTGCTTTGTTCTTGGTGTGGAACATAGCAGGAGTGCTAGGGGTTGGTTTGTTGAGGGAAGAAATTTGGCTTCTGAAGTAAGAAGATGTGACAATTCTTGGAAACACCTTGATGAGCTAACTGCACTTCTGTTCTAGAAGTAGAAATGGTCACTGGTTCACTGCGAGGTGTTTTGTGTGAGGCATTGTTCTGGGCACTAGGGGTGATAGCAGGAAACAGGACAGAGTCCTCCTCCGTGCAGTCTGGAGAAGAGGGGCTGGCACTGTGGTGTAGCGGGTAAAGCCACCACCTGTATCGCCAGTATCCTGTGTGGGTGCTGGTTCAAGTCCCAGCTGCTCTACATCTGCTCTGACTCCCTGCTAATGGACTGGGAAAGCAGTGGAAGATGGCCCAAGTGCTTGCGCCCCTGTTCCTCATGTGGGAGACCCAGAAAACAGTCCTGGTTCCTGGCTTCTGCCTGGTCCAGCCTTGGCCATTGGGGCTGTCTGGGGGGATGAATCAGCAGGTGGAAGATTTCTCTCTCTCTCCCCCTCTCCTCCTTTCTCACCCCCTCTCTCCTCCCACATCCCCTCTCTCCCCCTCTTTTCCCCCCTCTCACCCCTCCCCCCTGCATCCCCTGTGTCCCTCCTCTCTCCCCCCACTCTCTCTCTCCCTCTCTCACCTCTCTCCCTCCCTCTCTATAACTCTGACTTTCAAATCTATAGACAAGTAGGAGAAACTGAAAATAACCAAGGAAGGGTAGGCACCAGATTCAGCAGCCACGATGCCCTTGGGGTGCCCACATTGCATGGCAGAGTACCTAGGTTTGAGTCCCCGCTTCACTTCCAGTTCCAGCTCCCTGCACGTGTGACCTGGGGGCAGCAGGTGATAGCTCATATACTTGGGTCCCTGCCACCCATGCGGGAGACCTGGATTGGCTTCCTGTCTCCCAGCTTGCAACCCAACCCAAGCCTGGCCCAGCAGCCTCTGCTATTGTGGGCACTTGAAGATCTGTCTGTCTCTGCCTTTCAAATAAACCTCGTCCAAAAAAAAATCCAAGCAAACAAATGGAGACAGTGAAGCAGAGCGAGGCACAGAAACTGCCTGGGGGAGTGTGAGGGTGGCAGTGGCCGTCCAGAGGGTGACGGAGGGGCCAGCCACGCGAGGATCAGGGAGGGAGCAGTCTTAAGCAGAGGGGCCTTAGGGGCTGCAAGTGTAAACCTGGGCTGAGTGGAACGATGGGAGCAGGAGGTGACGGGGGTGGCGGGGTGGCCTGGTCCTGAGCGCCCTGCTGCCAGCCTGCCCGAGGCCACGCTCTGTCTTCTGCCGAGTCTCAGGGCTCCCTCAGCTGGCTGTAAAGACATCACAGCACAGTGAGTGCTCTGACGCTGAAACAGCAGGAAGCCAAGCTGCTTTAACCCACAGTCACCCTCTGTTTAGTTCCAGAGCATGAGAACAGCCTACTTCTAACATGGTAGCCTGTGGTATTTAGAGATGCAGGTAAGGCACTACGTGAAAGTCACAGAATTTTCTCAGTCATATCAACTATCAGACCTTCCTAGCCTTCTAGCCTTGTTCCCTGGTGCTCCACTCTGCTTCTTCTTCTTTTTTTTCTTTTTTTCTTTTTTTTTTTTTTTTTAAGATTTATGTATGTGTTAGAAAGGCAGAGTTACAGAGGTGGGGAGGAAGTGGGGGAGAGAGAGAGAAAGGTCTTCAATCAGCTGGTTCACTTTCTAGGTGGCTGCAATGGCCAGAGCTGGGCCAGTCTGAGGCCAGGAGCCTCCCTCGGGTCTCCCACGCAGGTACAGGGGCCCAAGGACTCAGGACATCCTCTACCACCCTCCCAGGTCAGAGCATAGAGCTGGATAGGAAGTGGAGCAGCTGGGACTTGAACCAGCGCCCACATGGGATGCTGGTGCTACAGACCAGGGCGTTAATCTGGCCCCTTTGCTTTGTTTTTCAATCTGAGTACTTCTCTCTGAACATGTTCCATGACCGCTTCCATTTGTTTATCTGTCTCCCCTTTGGAATATTTATTTTCTTAAAGGCAGTCTATTACGTCCTCAAGTTCTCAAACAGGGGCCAGCGCCGTGGCTGACTTGGTTAATCCTCTGCCTGGGGCACCAGCATCCCATATGGGCTCCAGGTTCTAGTCCCGGTTGCTCCTCTTCCAGTCCAGCTCTCTTCCAGTCCAGCTCTCTGCTGTGGCCCGGGATGGCAGTGGAGGATGGCCCAAGTGCTTGGGCCCTGCACCCCATGGGAGACCAGGAAGAAGCACCTGGCCCCTGACTTTGGGTCGGCGCAGCGCCAGCCGTAGCCGCCATTTGGGGAGTGAACCAATGGAAGCAAGACCTTTCTGTCTCTCTCTCTCTCTCTCTCTCTCACTCTCTCTCACTGTCTGTAACTCTGTCAAAATAAATAAATAAAAATCTTTAAAAAAAAAAGTTCTCAAACAGATTCACTAAATATTTGGAAAGTGAATAATCTGTGTGTCATTCCAGCTCTAATGGCTTTAGCCATTCCTATCAGAGCAGCTGGAATCCAGCCAAACCAGTAGGCCCAGATTCCCCATCTTCCTCTTGCTCTGTAGCACACTCTGAGTTCTGTAGAGTGATGGATAGGCTGCAGGAGAGAGAAGTGGCTGTTCTAGATGCAAAACTAGATAACTAATAATAAAGTTTAATTACCTCCCATAACTGCAAGCTATTGTACTGCCACCTCCTAGTGTTTTTTTTTTTTTTAACGATTTATTTATTTTACTTGAAAGTCAGAGTTATTCAGAGAGAGAGAGAGAGAGAGAGGGAGGTCTTCCATCCGATGGTTCACTCCCCAGTTGGCCGCAACGACTAGAGCTGTGCCGATCTGAAGCCAGGATCCAGGAGCTTCCACCGGGTCTCCCACGTGGGTGCAGAGGGTGCCCAAGGGCCATCTTCTACTGCTTTCCCAGGCCACAGCAGAGAGCTGGACAGGAAGTGGAGCAGCCGGGTCTTGAACCAGTGCCATATAGATGCAGGTGCTTCAGGCCAGGGTGTTAACCTGCTGTGTCACAGCGGCAGCCCCATCCTAGTGGTTTTTATAAGTTCTGTTTTTTGACAGTCAGGTTTTCAAAAGAAGAAATTTGTAATATCTCCATATTCTCAAGCTTATTCTCTTCAGTAGATTCAAACTTGATTCATGACATATGTAATCATGGTAGTATCTTGTTTATGCTCTTTGGTGACTTTTTTTTTTTTTTTAATTTGTTTATTGTAAAGTCAGAGTTATGTGGGGATGCCCGGGGAGAGAGAGATCTTACGTCTGCTGGTTCACTCCCCAGCTGGCTGCAATGGCTGGGGCTGGGCCAGGCTGAAACCAAGAACCAGGAGCTTCTTCTGGGGCTCCCATGTGGGTGGCAGGGGCCCAAGCACTCAGGCCATCTGCTGTGCCCATATGAGATGCTGGCATCGCAGGCGGTTTTACCTGCTACACCACAACACCCAGCTCTGACAGTTTTATTTTTAGATTTAAAAACATCACTATTTTTCACAATGTTTAAACTTAAAAAAAATTTAGATGTCTTAAGGATGATTGATAATATTAAACCCTGCTGTTTAACTGAAAGGAATTCAGTCTTCTCTAAGAAAGAAAATAATTTTTTTTTTTCATTTCCAGGGATGGAGAGAGGAAAAGTATGAGTATTGAGAGGTACTGTTTTGTTATTTATTATTAATTGTTCATAACTAATGTTATTGTAAATTAACTTTTAATAAAAATGTCAGTGAAAATGAAAAAAAAATTTACCTGCAGCGCACAGTAGCCATTTCCTGAAGTAACCGCCCTAGTATACTGCTCTGCTTTCTCCAGCTGCTGAACTCTCAGTGGGAAAAAATGAACTGTAGCAATTTTTTAAAAAATTGGCCCTACTCCTGCTCAGGGAAACCAAGCATTTTAGGTCTCCAATCTTAATTTCTAGCCTTCTTTATAAGAATAATTATATTGCATATTTACTTGGGAAATTTAAGAAGTGATCATGGAAATTCTTCCTGAAAGTCTTCAATATTGGTGAATAAGCAGAGGTGTCAAACGGAGGTTAAGCATCCCTAATCCAGAAATCCCAAATCCAAAACTTTCTGAGCACCATGTGATGCCATGAATATAAAAGTCCCCCCAGACTTCATGAGACAGATGTTGTATAAAATTACCCACAGGCATGTGTGTAAGATGCATATTCATATCCTTGAATAGAGAATTGGTCGAGTGATTTATGTCATTTATGTGGGTATTATACCCCTGTATATGAGGACATTGCTTATTCACTGGGAACGGTGAATAAGTTCAACTCAGAACAGCAAGGTGCTAAGCCGTGTGACTAACAGCTTACTCTTTATATAAGAAAATGAGAGGAAATGTTTGCTTGCTTTCTCATATTTCTGTGGGACGGTTCTGAAGGAATTCATGAGAATAAGAAACTGGCAACCTCAGTTGCCACCAGCTGGCTAACTGAGGGCTGGGGATAGGTTGGAGGGGTGCTTTCCTGAGCCTTGCACTCATCCCTGGGATCTGTCCTGCCTGTCTTCCTCGTATGCTAATATCACCTCTCAACTTCTTTCAGCACTGCCTTGCAGATGAATTAAACTTCTCTACTTTTAATCTCAACAGCTCCGCATTTCCAGTTGTCTGTTAGACAATACTGCCCAGGTACCAGGAGGCAGTTCCTAAAATCTACTTAAATATAGTCCCTATCTAGAAAACTCCTGGGATGATGTTCTGGAGCAGTGTCTGTATAAATGTACGCCTGTTGTGTTAACAGTCAGTGACCTTAATCAGCTTTTTAAAAAAATACTGTAGAGAGAACAAGAGTGTGAAATTGCTCCTTTGCGAATTAGCTTACCTATCCAAATTGTTTTCCATTATTTATGTAGATCTTAGATGTTTAATATATCTTAGTTCATCCGAAAACATTATTTTGTACTACAGAAAATATAACTTAATGCTAAGCCATTTAAACACACCTCAGGTGACCCTAAGTTGTTCACTGAAATAATTCTTGTCTTTCTAGAACATTCAGTGAGCTAAGCAAAGCAGAAGAACAGTACAGCCTGTGCCAGGAACTATGCAGGGATCTTGCTCAGGATCTCCAGAAAGAAGGACTGAAGGTACTTCATTTTGATGCGGCAGTCTTGGTTTTTAAAAATTTTAGTAATAAAATAAAGACTAAAATTACAGATTTCTTAAAGAGGAATACAGATTAATAAGTGTTGGAACAGACTGCCCCAACCCCCAACAAACAGAGAAAAAAATCAACTCCAGCCTGTGCCTGAGTTCTGTGAAGCAGCAGCCTGGGAGGCTGGGTGGCTCCAGTGTGATTTGAGAAACTTGGTAGTACCTGGGGACTGCATTTGAGTAAGTTCCAAACCAGAACATACTGGCATTAGATAATAAGGCAAGGGGGGGTTCCCCCAGAACAGTACTCACAGAGGTCCCTTTCCAGTTGTCCTTTGATGTTTTTCTCACATAGACAATGACCTTGTAGAAATAAACATTTTGCCTCAAGGCTCTCATCCAGTTTGTTTAACACATTGAGAAAAAAAACCCTAGAAGACTTTGAACTTTCTGTTTTACAACTTTGACCTATGACAATTCATGTTTGATATTTTCCCAACACTTCCAAACAAAGGTTATTACAAAGTGTGATAAAAGATATTCAGTCATGAAAAATGGCATATCTATTATAAATAGTTTTCTTACAATCCTGTCATACTTTGAGTATAAAGAATTCTTTTTAAAAAAAAATTAATTTTAGAATGATTTATTTTTTTTTTAAGTTTGCTTTTGGAAGGTAAAATGACAGAGAGAGGCAGATCTTTCATCTGCTGGTTCTCTCTCCAGATGTCTGCAGCAGCTGGGGCTGGAGCTAGAAACTCCATCTGGGTCTCCCACGTAGGTGGCAGGGACTCAGATAGTTGTGCCGTCATCTGTCGCTTCCCAGGTGCACTAGCTGGATTGGACCGGTGGTGAGACTCAGTCCCGAGAGCTCTGATTCAGGATATGGGCATCCCAGGTAGCGGCTTAACTGTGCATAACGCCCATCCTTAGCATCATTTTGGATTTACAGAACAGTCGCAAAAATAATAGAGATCTGATATGCCCAGTTTCCTTCATTGCTAACATCTTATATTATGGTGGTACAGTAGTCAAAATGGAAACACTGAAATGAGCACATTGCTGTTAACTGAACTCCAGACACTAAGTGGATTTTACTTATTTTCTTGTTAGTGTTCTGCCTCGTCTAAGAATTGACCAGGGAACTACACTGGCATTAGGTCTTGTGTGTGCCCAGTCGTCTGTGGTCTGTTTCAGTTTCTCAGTCTCTTCTTTTTCAAACCTTCACAGTCTTGAGAAGTGCTGGCCAGGTATACTACAGACATCCCCCCATCTGGTGTATCAATAATTTTATAGTATCGCCCAGGGTTCTGGGTTTTTGGAAAGATGGCCTCAAATGTGAATGCCCTTCTCATCACATCCCATCAGGAGCATGTGACAGCCCCTTGGCAGCCTCCATCTCTTGGATTCTCCACTGTGAGCCACTGTTTTCCCCTGGGAAGTAAGTCAGCAAGTCTAACCCACCCTCAAGTGAGGAAGGGCAGAAATTAAGTTCTACCTCCAGGAGCTAATAAAATACACATAACATAAATTCACCATTTTAATCATTTTTAATTGTATGATTCAATGATATTAAGTACATTAACTGTGCAAACACCAGCACCGTTCATCTCTGGAACATTGTCCTCATCTCCACGTGAAACTCTGTAAAGGAATTTCTGAGGAATTGTTTGTCATAGTGTCTGGCATACAGTGGGCACACAGTAACTTTGATCTATCCAAAAGATGCTGTCAGTGGGGCACCTCCTTACAGCTATTGAATTAATCTCTAAAAAGAGGTTTAGTAACAAGAAAAGTGATCAATTAACTTTGTTCTTTATATAAAGATCTTTTATAAAATTCAGTTCGGGGGGCAGGTTTTATTGCACAACAGGTTAAGCCACTGCTTGGGACTTCTGCATCCCGTGTTGGAGTGCGTGCTCCATGCTTCTGATCCAGCATCCTGCTACTGCACTGGGAGGCAGCAGGTGATGGCCAGAACACTTGGGCTCCTACCAACCACGTGGAAGACGCGGATGGAGCTCCTGACTCTTGGGTTCAGCCTGGTCCAGCCCTGACTGTTGTAGGTGTTTGGGAAGTGAACTGGTGATTGGAAGATCTCTGTCTCTTCCTCACTGTTGGTCACTCTGCCTTTGAAATCCATGAAATTTTTTTAAAGCAATCAGTTGAGAATGGTAATGATGACTTTTGGCTAAATTGGGGTTTCTAAATTACTCCTGAGTTTTAGTTATTCCTTTGGACCATTTTCATTACTGTGTTCCATCAGTGACTGATCTGCCTGCCCCATTTTATGTGTAAGTGGAGACCTAAAGCCATGTGTGACGATGTCTTCCGTGTGTGGCAGGGTAGAACTGTCACTGTGAAGCTGAAGAACGTGGATTTTGAAGTAAAGACGCGAGCGTCTACAGTTCCATGTCTTGTTTCTACTTCAGAAGAAATCTTTGCTGTTGCCAAGGAGTTGCTAAGGACAGAGATTGATGCTGATTTTCCACATCCCTTGAGATTAAGACTTATGGGTATGACTTCATTTCTTGTTTTTCCTTAAATCTAGGTTTTGCCATCAACTTTGGAATATTATCGCCTCTTGTTTATTTTTTAATCCCATTTAGGAAGTTCTCACTGTGTGCTGCTATTTAGCTTAATCTTTAGAACCAGATGTATATGAAGCCAGGCTCATTCATTTAATTCCAGTTCTTTTCCTTACTACTTATTGAAATCCTGGGGGCAAGGTGTGTTTCAAAATACAGAACTTTACAGCTTTTGAAAGCAAAATTCTGTGCATGGAGACAAGAGTGTTAGGTCTTACTGTGTGTACCTGAGGTGTCATCCCACTGTAAAACACGTTATTGTTTCAGTAGCAAAACAAAAACACACCAGCAGTCTGTGAAGACTCTAAATATCCTCATGGTATTTCAGTCCTTGGCTATACTTGTTTTGTACAATTTTCACAACTTTGGATTTCAGAAGGATGATAAGGGACTGTGACACTGCTGAAACGGTGTGTCCAGTCACTGCGTGGTGGGAACATAAACACAAGTGTGAACTGGGGAGAGAGTGTGACAAGTGTTTCCGACGCTCTCCCGACTGCTAACAGCGCACCATGAGCCGCATTTTCTCCTATAGGAAAGTCAGCTGAATGAAGCCTGCTAACGGGAAAGCTAACGAGCAGGCTTCTGTGGAAGCTTTGTTCAGAGTCGCCAGGCTGGCAGGTACCCAGCATACCCTTCAGGGAGTGAATGGACCAGTCGACTGCAGTATCTCCAGACAGTGGGGCAGTAATGTTCAGCACATAAGAAAACAAGCTCTCTGGCTGGCGCTGCGGCTCACTAGGCTAATCCTCCACCTAGCGGCGCCGGCACACCGGGTTCTAGTCCTGGTCGGGGCGACGGATTCTTTCCCGGGTGCCCCTCTTCCAGGCCAGCTCTCTGCTGTGGCCCGGGAAGGCAGTGGAGGATGGCCCAAGTGCTTGGGCCCTGCACCCCATGGGAGACCAGGAGAAGCACCTGGCTCCTGCCTTCGGATCAGTGCGGTATGCCGGCCGCAGTGCGCCAGCTGTGGCGGCCATTGGAGGGTGAACCAACGGCAAAAGGAAGACCTTTCTCTCTGTCTCTCTCTCTCTCACTATCTACTCTGCCTGTCAAAAAAAAAAAAAAAAAAAAAAAAGAAAGAAAGAAAGAAAGAAAACAAGCTCTCGATTGGCGCTGTGGCTTACTTTGCTAATCGTCTGCCTGCGGCACCGGCACCCCGAGTTCTAGTCCCAGTCAGGGTGCCGGATTCTGTCCTGGTTGCTCCTCTTCCAGTCCAGCTCTCTGCTGTGGCTCAGGAGTGCAGTGGAGGATGGCCCAGGTCCTTGGGCCCTGCACCCGCAGGGGAGATCAGGAGGAAGCACCTGGCTCCTGGCTTCGGATCGGTGCAGCGCGTGGCCAGTTGGAGGGTGAACCAACGGAAAAAGGAAGACCTTTCTCTCTGTCTCTCTCTCTCTCTCACTGTCTAGCTCTGCCTGTCAAAAAAAGAAAAAGAAAAAAGAAAAAGAAAAACGAGCTCTCAAGCCCTGAAGACACATGGAGGAACCTTAATTGCATATTGTTGAATCAAAGCAACCAATCAAAAAAGGGCACACAAGGGATTCCAACTGTGTGACATTTTGGAAAAGGCAAAACTATGGAGACAGCGACAACATCAGTGACTGTCAGAGGTTCCGGGAAGGAAGGGAAGAGTGAGCAGAGCACAGAGGATTTTAGGACTGGCAAGGGGCTGTGTATGCTGTAGAGGTGGGCACACGCTGCTGCACACTTGTCTCAACACATCGAAGGCACAACACCCAGAATGCACCTCCATGTCAGCTGAGGACTTGGGGAATAAAGTTTTCTCAGTGCAGGTTCCTGAGTTTAACACATGGTCCAGTCTGGTGCAAGAAGTAGGAGAAGGCTGTGCAGGTGTCGGGGCAGGGGGTATACAGGAACTCTCTGCTCCTCTGTCCAGTTTCACTACGAACCTTCAGCTACTCTAAAACATAAAGCTTGTTTTTATAAAAAGAGCAGGACAGCAGTTGTGGCACATGGTGTAAGTTGCTGCCAGGGTGCCACACCCCATGCTGGAGTGCCAGTGTGAGTCCCAGATGTTGTAGCTTCTGGTCAGCCGCTTCCTGGTGCACCTGAGAGGCAGCAGGAGTGCCCAGGTACTTGGGCCTCTGCCACCATGTGAGAAAGCCAGATGGAGTTCCTGGTGCCTGGCTTCAGCCTGGCCCAGCCCTGGCTGCTGTAGGCATTTGGGGAGTATTTTCTGTTGTTCTGCCTTTGAAGTAAAGAAAAGCATTTTTTAAAATAAAAGTTAAGAAAAAAAGTTTTAGAACAAGCTAAGGAGTCAGTGTAGTTGATTCTAGTTAGTTACTTAATAGCATGAGTGTCAAATACTAATTGAAAGTCCTAGATAAGGCCAATTCCAGAAAATATTTGGGGACAGTGCTGTGGCACAGCCGATTAAAGCCCTGGCCTGAAGCACTGGCAACTCACATGGGTGCCGGTTCTAGTCCCAGCTGCTCCTTTTCTGATCCTGCTCTCTGTTGTGGCCTGGGATAGCAATAGAAGATGGCTGAAGTCCTTGGGCCCCTGCACCTGCATGGGAGGCCCAGAAGAAGCTCCTGGCTCCTGGCTTTGGATTGGTGCAGCTCTGGCGTTGTGGCCATCTGGGGAGTAAATCAGCGGATGGAGGACCTCTCTCTCTGTCTCTACCTCTCTCTGTAACTCTGTGTTTCAAATAAATAAAATAAATCTTTAAAGAAAAAAAGAAAGTGTTTAATGCATCCCAGTTTTATAAAGGCAATGTCTTCTCACAATACCCGCTTTAGTTTAGAAAACTATATCCAATGTTTTCATATTGCTCTCAGTCATGCTCTCTGTATGTGTCGCGGCAGTATTACACAAAATGTTTTTATGCACTGTGAGTAAATTGGCTTTGTTGAATTTGGGATTGACTGGTTGTGACTGGTCTAATGCAGGTGTTCGGGTGTCTGGTTTTCCCAACGAAGAGGACAAGAAGCAGCAGCAAAAGAGCATCGTCGGCTTCCTACAGACTGGAAACCACGTCCTGCCCGCCACAGGGCCTGTGCTAGAGAGAACTGGCATGGGTCCGCCTGAAAACCCTCTAGAAGTGTCTCAGAAGAAGAGTTTCTTTGATAAAAAACGATTAGAAAGGAAAGGGAGTCACCAAGACACATTGAAACATGAAGCTGCAGATGAACAGAGTTTGCAGACCTCACAGCCACTGCCAGTTTTACAGAAGATGAGTGAGAATTTAGCGTTGGAGAGTGCGGGTGGCCTTGGCACCTTCACCTGTCCTGTTTGCTCCAGGGAGCAGGGACGCATCAGTCTGGAAGCCTTCAACAGGCACGTGGATGCGTGTCTCGATGCACCTTCAGGCAGCGCGGCCTCCAGGGGGGCCCTGGGCTCACAGGCTGCCTCCACTGAAGTCAGCAGGAAAGAAAATGCACATCACTCTTTCTCGTGTGGGGAGACGCAGGATGATCAGGAAAATGTCGACATGGCTTCAGTAGGTTTGGAAGAGTCTACAGGTAACTCATCTGAGGTACAGAGTGCAGACGCTCTGAATCATAAGCACAAGGAGGAGTGTGATGGTCTTCCAGACAAATCCTTCAGTATGGAACACGGTCGCCAGAATTCTTCTTGCAGTGTTGCACTGGAAAAGGAAGATCCTGGGCCGTTAGGTGGGCAAGAATGCCCCCAGCCTTATTTATATGAAGTGGCAGCAGGCCAAGCTCTAGTATGTCCTGTTTGTAACCTAGAACAAAGGACTTCAGATCTTACCCTGTTCAATGTGCACGTGGATGTCTGCTTAAATAAAGATGTTATACAAGAACTGAGAAACGATTCGGTTAATCCTGTTCATCAACTCAAAGAAAATTCTAGAAATGCTGGTGAGTCATTTTAAAGAATGTGATTTTCTATGAAATTTTTTTAATTAATGAGATTGTTGGTAAAGTAGGACACAAAGGTTTGAGGAGCTGAGCAATATATTAAAAAAATAACTTCCTTTGGAGAACATTTGCCAAGACACAGTAGTCAATTAACCATAGTCACAAAGCCAGAAAGCCTCTGTGACTTGTTTTTTGGTAGTGCAAACTAGTCAGATTTCAAAAATGAAATTAGGTCTAATGCTGAAAGAACTAGTGATAGTGATAGTAAATTATGAAGAAATTGTGCTGTATAGTTTCTAGTTTGTATAAGTAAAAACTGTGTAGTACCAAGAAAGTTTTTATTAATCAGCCAGTTTTAATTTTTAAAAATTTTATGCAGCTTTTCAGTTATTTCATGTTGTTCATTATGGAATTTCTTGACTTTTCTTCCCTCAAAAGGCAACTCAAGCAGAGCACAGAAGACGTTAGCAAAAACAAAAAGGTATGGTTAATCTGAACTTCAACAGAACGAGCTACAAAAATGTCATATTTTGAAGTTTAATTTCTAGGAGGCTTTAAATTTTGATTTTTTTTAATCATCAGGTCATATTTTTTAAAAAGAGCTATTTGCAGAATTATTTTTAAAAATCTCTTCCTGTCTCTTAGTTGTGTTTCTTTTCATTCCAGGCCAGCACTGATGAAAAAGAACTCGGCATCAAAGAAAGTAAAGCCAAGCAGTGCCACACGTACCCTTGATATATTTTTTAAGTGAGCATTTTATCATTGATTTTTAATTGAAACTAATTTTATAATCAGTGGATTTAATATTCATTTTAATTTACAGATTCCTTTGATGGAGACAAATGCATAATCCCTCTGTAAATGACATTTCCTTTTCTGAGAATGAAGAATGTACAAATTTACTTCTAAGAATGTGGAATGTGCATGAATTTACTTCTAAGAATGTGCAATATGTACAAATCTACCTCTGTGTACGTTTTCTGTAATATGAGAACTTTTACATCCATTATGGATCAGGTGGAAATTAGTCCTGTTAGAGATCATTTTAAAAAGGGGAACAGGAATGGAATCTGAATATGATTTGTTACTTTTACAGTGGATATAAAAACACAGGTGTCAGGGCTCTCAGTGGTCCCTACAAGCACTTATCCACTCTCTGGGCATTGGACTGCTCTGATCTTAGTATCTTCTGATACCTTATGGACATTCATCATTAGAACCTATCATAATTTCTATGATGAGTATTAATTTAGCAGAACTCCTATGCCTGGTTTTGTTATCTTCAGGAAAATAATATCACAGTATTATCTGTGTTAAAAGGATCGTTGCTTAAAATATCACTATTTATTGGTTTTTCTTATTTATAATCCCTTTATCTTATGAATGAACACTTGATTTACTTTATACACAGTAATTTTATATGTGGGACTTTTAAGTGGCAGGTTGTTGTCTCTGGCAGTTACATCTGCTTTTTCCACAAGTATATTAAAAGGATAAATTATACAGGCATTTTAAGAGGGAAATGTACAATTCAAAAGGCTCATGTGTATCAAAACATCTCCTTTATCTTAGTTGCGTTTCTAACACAGCGTAATAGAAGTGGTATGCTGAAGACTTGTGTTAGTGGAGTCTCTAAGACAGTTGTGTAGCTGGAGCAGACGCAGTCAGAGTCTTCACCACAAGAAGGAACTGCATCTTGTTCTCCTAGAGCTTTGTTTTCTTTTTCCTTTTTTTGCTTATTATTTAACCATATAAGGAATTAACATTAATTAGCATCTCGCACAACCTTTGGCTGCAGGGCCGTCTTGAGTCTTAACTCCTAAACTGTTTGGAACCAGGCACCACAGCAAGCACAAAGCTGCTGCACTTAGGTAAATTCCAGACCCAGCAAAACTGCTTTAAATGTCCTGAAAAGACAGCACTCTGTTTTCTGACCCTCCTGAAGTTTATTGTTTTAATATTAGAGCAAATATCAAATTATTTTCATTTATATAATTAAACTGGATGTTATCTTTAGTAATATTCAATAATAATTGAAAATAAAATTTATTTTTAGTCAATCTGTTAGCCAACAGAGATGCATGTTTTTTTGTGTGTTCTTTCCCTCTGATGATTTCACTCATGTTTTTTTTTTGCTCTATTCTGCATCCTTCACTCTGTTTTTTTAATGTACCAAATCCACTTTCTTATTATAATTTTGATTTGAGGAAAAAGTACAGCAAGACTACAAGAAGTGGTAAGAAGCACCCATGATCAGATACAAAACCACTGGGGGAATACACAACTTGTGGCTGTGTGGTAAAATCCAGTATCTGGAATATACTTATATAGGTGATTCTTGTGGATCAGTGAGAGAAAGACAATCAATAGAATTTTGTCAAGAGACTTTTTTCCCCACTCTGTCTGAAAGGCAGAGAGACAAAGAAATCTTTCATCCCCTGGTTCACTCCCCAGACACCCATGACAGCCACAGCGGAGTTAGGCCAAAGGCAGGAGGCCAGGACTCAGTCCAGGTCTCCCACACAGGTGGTAGGGATCCAAGGACGTGAGCCAGCATTTGCTGCTGCCCAGGGTGTGTGTCAGCTGGAAGCTGAACTTGGAAGCAGAGGAGGGACTTCAGGCACTCTGACAGGGGAGGCTGGCGTTGCAGGTGGCATCAACTGCTGTGCCAGACATCCGCCCCAGTCAAAAGACTGTCAGTGACCAAGAAACACGAAAGCATTCATAGTCGAATTCGTAATCCGATATGAAAAACACAGAGACATTATTACATTCCTGCCACATTCATGAAAAAATAAACAATGATATGAAGTTTCACTGATGATGTGAATTCTTAATTCCATAACATCTGGTGAACAGCCTGTCCTTTACTTGGCAGTTCTCTGCCCTGCTCTCTGAGCAGCTGACACCAGGGCAGCAGGGGTGCCACTGCAGGAGCCGGAAGGAGGAAGAGGATGGCAGGACCATCGCAAGCTGGGTAGGACGCTAGCAGAGGAATCCACCCTGCCCGTGCAGGTCCTCCTCCTCCCTTTCCCTCTGCCAGGGCTGGCAGAGAGCCTTGCTCTTATTATTAATCCACAGGGTGTGCCTCGCCCTTTGTGCTCTCTCTACATCTGCCTGGGCGTTTGTTCGCAAATGGTCCCTTATCTCAAAATACAATGTTTCCCCTGCCAGAGTCCTACCTAGCACATGGCTCAGGAGGACTGTTGAGCTTGTGCCCTATTCACAGCAGCACTGTCACAGCTGAAGTCTGGAAATGAGCCCAGTGTTCAACACCGGAAAAACAGTTAAATCCTGAGGTGGTGTGGTCCTGTACATTCAAACAGTGGGATTATGCACAGTGGGGCAAATGAAGGAAATAGATGGAGAGCAGTGAAGCCAGAAGCAGAGGGTGCTGCCTGCATGTTTCCACTTGGGAAGGTTTAAACAATCACAACTAGTGCCATGGTTTAAGGGTGTGCCCATATGAGATAAAACTACAGTGAAAACCCAGTGTTTTGTCATCGCCAGAGGCAGCAGTGGTGCCTGGGGAGCAGGGCAGTGGCACGGAGCACGGGTCCTGGCAGGCCTTTCTGTCCAGGTCAGTTGGTGGCTGCATGGGTGTTGAGCTCTACAGATACTTTGTACACTTGGATTCATATACAAAGATTAAAAGACAATGCAGTACCTCACACACACAGCCTATGTCACAGTAAAACGTAAAAAGAACGCCAGAAAGCACATTCCCTAGAGGGTGGGGTTCCCGCTCCTCTGCAGGCCCCAGGGACGGGGGGTCCACCCCAGCCAGCAGAGTGCTCACAGAAAGGTTTTTCTGCTCGCGTCTTCCCTTACCAGCCTCACCCAACACTTGAGTGGTTTAAGGGAAAACGGTGTCACAGTTTCACCTGTCAGCACCAAACAGGCCACTAGTTTGCCAGCCTGGGCTGCTTTGTCCCTGCTTCCCACAGACCCCTCAGGCACTAAGTCAGTTCTGTAGGTCTGGTTCAGAATCTCACGTCATTTGTGAGTTATGGAGATCCAAAGATGGGCCTTTTTTTTTTTTTTTTTTTTTTTTTTTTGGAGAGGCAGAGTGGACAGTGAGAGAGAGAGAGACATAGAGAAAGGTCTTCCTTTGCCGTTGGTTCACCCTCCAATGGCCGCTGGCACACCGCGCTGATCTGAAGCCAGGAGCCAGGTGTTTCTCCTGGTCTCCCATGGGGTGCAGGGCCCAAGCACTTGGGCCATCCTCCACTGCACTCCCTGGCCACAGCAGAGAGCTGGCCTGGAAGAGGGGCAACGGGACAGAATCCGGCTCCCCGACCGGGACTAGAACCCAGTGTGCTGGCACCGCAGGCGGAGGATTAGCCTATTGAGCCGCGGCGCCGGCCCAAAGCTGGGTCTTTTAAAGAGAAATCACTTGTAGGTTTCTCATGGGACGTGAGCTTCGTTGGCTGGTGTTGGTGCAGTGGTTCAAGGGCAGGTCCAAAGGCGCTAGTTTCCTTGGGCTTTCAGTAGTCTACTTAAGGCTTTCTACTTCAACCTTGAGTTCCAGCTGGGGGACAAAGGACAAAGGGGCAGCTCTCAGACACATCTGGGCTACTCTCAGGGAGCTTCCTGGAATCAGACACATGCGGGCCACTCGCAAGGAGTTCTGCAAGGCCGGCAGCAATTCTCTCTCCCATCTTGTTGCATCCTCCTCGTAAAGGGAGCCTGGAAACTTGGTCATCTTGGATGAGCACATTGCTGCACCAGGCAAAACCATTTAAGAGTATCCGTAAGAACAACATGAAGCCTGCTGTTGTCCTGTTAATATTAAAAATTTATTTTGGAGACAGAGTCCCCTCTGCTGATTCACTCCCCCCCCCCCCCGCCCCAACTGCTCATGAGTCAGAGCTGGGCTTCACAGAGGCCAGGAAGTAGGAACTCAGCTCAGGTCTCCCCCATCTCCAGGATCCACATTAGTAGGAAGCTGGAGGCAGGAGTCAGAGACAGGTATTGAACCCAGATATTTCCTGTAAGGAACAAAGGTGCCCTAACTCGCATTGTAACTTCTTGGCCAAATCCCTATACCCAGGGTGGACTCTGTGTGTGTGTGTGTGTGTGGCCATTTTATTGGAAAGGTGGAGAGGTACGGAGAGACAGAGATCTTCCATTTGCTGTTTACTCCCCTAATGCCTGCTGAAGCCCAGAACTCAGCTCAGGGCTCCCATGGGAGTGTCAGGGACCCAAGACATCACCTGCTCCTCCCAGGGGCTCATGAGCAGGAAGTGGGATTGGAAGTACAGACGGGGACCTCAACTGGGCACTGGTACGGATGCAGACGTTGGAGCAGCAGCTGAGCCACTGTGCCCGATGCCCTCTTTCTGGGTGCATGTTTTAAAACAACGCTATCCAGAGAAAAATAAATGTGATCATCCTAAGCCAGAAGTCCCCAAGGCTAGTCTGAAGCCTAGCAAGGACTTGCAGGACCCCGAAACGCTGTAATGTTCACGGCTAGAGATGGTGACAGTGAGAAGGGCGCAGTTAAAGTCAGCAGAGGGGAAATGCATGTGGGTGACATCCAGGACCACCCGGGCACAGCCTGCAGGTGTCTGCTGGTGGTCACGTGGTGCACACCCAGTTCTCTGGAAATGAGTGACAACATGCAAAATACTGCTGCCCAGGGAGCCCCACCCCTTGGTGTCCAGGGCCTTTTCTTTTTTCAAGGACTTATTTATTTAACAGAGAGAGGGAGAGGGCTTTCACTTACTGGTTCACCCCCCAAGTGGCTGCAAAGGCAAGGGCTGAGCCAAGGCGAAGCCAGGAGCTTCATTCGGGTCTGACATGGGTGGCAGAAGTCCAAACACTTGGGCCATCTTCTGCTGCGTCCCCAGGCCAATAGCAGGGAGCTGGATTGGAAGTGGAGCAGCCAGCGCATGAACCAGCACCCGTATGGGATGTCGGTGTGGCAACTTCACCCGCTACACCAAACGCCTGCCCCACCCCGGGCTGGGCCCGAGTCCTGCAGAGCCCAGAGGTAGCTCATGGCCCACGGTCAGGCTTCCAGTGTTGTTAGCAGAAATCTCCCAGCAGACTAACTGCTCAGACACCGCCAAGGCGGCAGCGCCCCCTCCCCAAGAGCTCCAAAGCCTTCCCCAGGAAGGGGCCGGTCCTGGACAGAGGTCACGCTTTGGAGGGAGCCGGCTTTGGGCCACGTGAGCCTGCTGAGCTGACCCAGAACTGCACCCTTAACGTGAATGTCGAGGGTTAGCGCGTGCCAGCGTAACGATGAGAGACCTGGGCTCTGTGGCGCGCTCAGGACAGCCGTGCGTTTGCACTAAGCCACCACCAGTGTGCAGAACAGAGCGACAGCTGCAGACCTAACTCCGCGGTAGCTGTGTCGCCCTCTCTGCAACTCCAGGATCTCTTTAACAGCGCACTTCGCATGGCTCCGGTAATCGGTCGCCGTGCAGCGGACCTCAGCCTTCCGCGATCACATCGAGCGCAGGCTGCATCCGAAATACTTACACGGAGGGGAGACCAGCGGCGACTGTGCGCGTGCGCAGGGGGACTGAGTGTGGGGCGGGGCGCTGGCTATGCGCGTGCGCGGAGGCCCCAAGGGGGGCGGGGCGTACGCCGGCCCCGGCGCAGACTCGGAGCGCAGTGACGTCCTACGCAGCAGGGGGGGGGCGAGTGCTCCTGGGGCGGCGGTGCCGCGGTGGGAGCTGGCGTGGGCCGGTGCGTGGGCGGCGAGCGTGTGGTGGAACGCCCTGGCGGCAGAGCTGGGCAGGGCCGCCGCGCGGGAGTCCGTGGGGACAGGTTCCGGGATTTCAGGGAAGGAGCGTGTCCGGAAGTTCCCAGAGCGGAGGGCGTGTGGGACCCCTGCCCCGTCCGTCAGCCCTGAGGCCCGGCCCTGACCCTGACCCCGACCCCGCTGCGCGGCCCGGGCGGTCCTGGGGGGACCCTGCCCTGCCCGTCAGCCCTGAGGCCCGGCCCTGACCCTGACCCCGACCCCCCTGCGCGGGGCGCGAGCGGTTCTGGGGGGACCCTGCCCTGCCCGTCAGCCCTGAGGCCCGGCCCTGACCCTGACCCCGACCCCCCTGCGCGGGCCCGGGCGGTCCTGGGGGGACCCTGCCCTGCCCGTCAGCCCTGAGGCCCGGCCCTGACCCTGACCCCGACCCCCCTGCGCGGGCCCGGGCGGTCCTGGGGGGACCCTGCCCTGCCCGTCAGCCCTGAGGCCCGGCTGCGAGGTGCGCGGTCCCGGGGGGCACCCTGTCCGGCGGTCCGGCCACCCTGGTGGGACCCTGCCCCCTTCACTAGTCTTCGGTGCTTGGCCGCACGGATTTGAGGGGACACGGGCTGGAGCGGAAGCTGGCCGAGTCTGGGCGATAGGGCCGGACCCGGAGGAAACCCGGGAGACCCACGCAAGTCGCGCGGGTGCCATCGGTGCAGTGCGCTGTCCCGCGACCAGGAGGGTGACCCAGGCCGCCGCCGCCATCAGGTGCTGGGTGACAGGTTGCCCGCGCATTTTATATTTATGTTTCAAATCTACATTTCAGAAGTAATCATAGCAGAAATTCTAAAATTACTAGAAGTAGCTTTTTAAATTAGTGACATTTCCTCTTTTAAAAAGTTAAAACCTGCTTTGGTGTGGAAAGGAGAGAGAAGCGTTTATAAAATCCGGGCCACCCCACCAGCAGTGCTTTCACTTTAGAGTTAGCGTGGTCTGTGCGAGGTTGGTGACAGCCACGTGACGCAGGTGTGAAGCAGGAAGGAGCTGTGTGGCAGCAGGTGTGCGGAGGCTGGGCGTGCAAGGAGACAGGCGGTCAGAGGCGGCCTCTGCTGTCCTCGCTGGGGACGCCCTTGTGCGGCCTCCTCGTCCGCCGGCCCTGGCTCTGCTCCCGAGTGCCCTCTGCAGAGCCTTCCTTCCATTGCGTTGCTCAGGCCCTCTGACCTGAGCACTGACCGGCAAACAGTCCCTCGGTTTTCCCTGCTCCAGACCAGCCCGTGCTTTTCTTCCAGAGTAGCCAGAAACAGTGCTTCCGCAGTATCATGCTGTGGTAAAAGCAAGACAAGGAGGTTCTCCATGCTCGGCACTGTGTCCAGGGTCAGTGGGGAAGTGGTGGTAGCATAGATCATTTCTGCGATGTAACGTGATCGATTCCAGGAAACGGCAGTCAGCGCCTGCACACGCCGCAGCCCCACTGTTGCACAGTCAGTGATGCCGTCGCGACGCTCACCTGCAGTTAGGCCGTTGACCACACTGCACGGCTTTGTGGATTCCTGAGCAGAGCCCCCAGCGGCTCACTCGCCCAGGAGAGGGCACATGGGGCCCAGGGGCTGGGGTGTGTGTGTGTGGATTGAGCTTCTGGCAGAACTGACCTGCGTGAAACAGGAAAAAGAACATATGATCCACAGTATACTTGCTTGTCAGCTGGTTCAGGCTCTCGGGGAACGGAGTCCCTCCAAGGCTGTAGTTCCCACAGTACACCGCCTTGGGGTTTGTGTCTGCGGGGCAGGGGGAGCCCCACCACACCCCTGAAGACGGAGCATAGCGATGCATTTTCTCCTGGGTTCGAGAGGGTTCTAGCGTAACTACGTTTCCTGGTTAGACTTGGAAGCGGTTGTGTGGCGTGAATTACTTGGAGCAGACCTTTCTGATCTGTCGTTGGCTTGCTTGCCGTTGGATGCTGTTTCCGCTGCAGATTTCTCTTTTTGTGTGCATCTTCTGATTTACAGAATTTTGGCTGTAAATATAATATTATACAGAGATACGTATCATTTAATGTCCTGTTTTTCCATGTACATATTATTACTTTCCGTATTAGTACATAGATTGATTTCTGCATTCTGTTCAATTCACCATATTTGGTATTTTTAATTCATTTTTCTTTAAAAGGCAGATACATGCACACACACACATGCGTGGGGAGAAAGAGACAGAGAATACCTTCCATTCATTGATTTACTCCCCTGTCACTCACAGCCAGGGCTGGACTAGGCCAAGCCAGGAGCCAAGAGCTTGAGCTGGATCTCCCAGGGGTGGCAGGGCCTGGGGCACTTGTGCACCTGCGGCCTTCCAGGGTGTGCACCAGCAGGCAGAAGTGAGGCCAGGACTCGAACCCCTGTGCTCCCACAGTGGATGCAGCTGCTCCCACCAACTCCATTGCAAACATCAGCCCCATATCAGCCTCACTTCATTTTGTCTGACGTTGTGGGAGGTGTTCTCAACACAGTAGGTAATTTTGTCTTTTTTTTTTAAAAAAAGATTTGTTATTTGAAAGAGTTACACAGAGAGAAGGAAAGGCAGAGAGAGAGAGGTCTTCCATTTGCTGGTTTACTCCCCAAGTGGCCACTGTGGCCAGAGCTGTGCCGATCCGAAGCCAGGAGCCAGGCGCTTCTTCCTAGTCTCCCACGTGGGTGCAGGGGCCCAAGCACTTGAGCCATCTTCTAGTGCTTTCCCAGGCCATAACGGAGAACTGGATTGGAAGTGGAGCAGCTGGGACACGAACCGGCGCCCATATGGGATGCAGGCACTGCAGGTGGAGGCTTTACCCGCTACGCCACAGCACCGGCCCCGACATATGGCCGTTTTCACTGATATGGAAGCATACCACTTTGGATTTAATATTTCAAAACCTGTGAGTTTGAGATGAACGCTGAAATTATATAATTTGTATGAAAATGAAACGTTTTATAAATTGATTAAAAGAATTCAAAATAAATGAAAATGAAAACTGGGTTCCCTCTTGTAATTGAGTTTATTTTGGAGGTCAAAACTTACTTGCTTTGAATTATTTCATGTTTCAAAAGAATTACCCAGGAAAGATAATGATTCATATTTATCAAGTGGGAAATTAAAAGTCTCATTTTATTAAAAATAAAATTATGTAGGCTCGTCTAGAAAAGGTTTAATACTGAAGTCGCAGCCATGTCTGATCCCTCCAAGCAGACTACACAGAACCGGGGCGCGTTAAGCTCAGGGTTAGGGCGGACCCATCCAGGCAGGGCCGAGACGTCCCGCCCGCAGCCAGAGAGGCAGAGGCAGGCGGACGGAAGGACGGACGGACGGGCCGCGGCGCCTGCGCCTGGCCATGCACCGCCTGTGGCTGAGGCGGGCCCGGGAGCGGCAGGCTGCAGGCGCGGACCCCGAGTTCCGTGAGTCCTGGGCTGGGGTCGGGGATGTCGGCGCCTCCTGGCACTGGGGCGGGCGCGCGGTTGGGCAGGTGCGTCGGGACCGCAGCCCCAGTCTCCCGCCCTCGGGCAGTCCCGGCCCCTGCCGCAGGCTGTGCGTGGAGGAGAGCCTGCACTCCCCCAGGCAGGAGGCTCTCCAGGGAAATGATTGAGACGTCCGCAAGCTGGAGCTTCCCGCGGCCGCCCCCTGCGTCCTGCCCGGCCAGCGCTCTGCGGCCCCTGCGCGTGGCGCTGCCAGGTGCGCGCGCAGGCCTGCGCGCCTCCTGGAGGACTGAATTCGCACTTCTCTGTGCACGCCGCCTGCAGACCCGTGGGTTTCTCTGGCTACTTTGGTTTCTTTGCCTCTCCACGAAGATTTTGGAATCCGCGTCTCTGCAGTGACAGAATGCTCGCTGGCACCTGACCCGTAGTGCACTGCGGGGACTCCTGACAGTCTGCTAGTCTGTGGGCTTGGAATACCTTTCTGGTCATTTTAGTCGTCTTTGATTCCTTCCTTCCTTCCTTCCTTCCTTCCTTCCTTCCTTCCTTCCTTCCTTCCTTCCTTCCTTCCTTCCTTCCTTCCTCTTTTCTTTTCTTTTCTTTTCTTTTCTTTTCTTTTCTTTTCTTTTCTTTTCTTTTCTTTTCTTTGTATGTGGAAACTACATGTCTTGTTGGATACATAGGCAAAATTTTTTTACTGTGATCAGCATTGATTTTTTTAAATTATTTATTTATTTGAAAGGCAGAGTTCCAGAGAGAGGGGGAGAAAAACAGATAAAGATCTTCGATCCACTGGGGGGTCACTCCCCAAATGTCCATAATGGCTGGGGCTGTGCCAGGCCCAAGCTAGGAGACAGGAGCATCTTCAAGGTCTCCCACATGGGTGCAGGGGCACAGGGATTTGGCCATCCTCTGCTGCTTTCCCAGGCCCATTAGCAGGGAGCTGGATCAGAAGTGGAGCAGGGGGGACTTGAATGGCACCAGTATGGGATGTCAGCGCTGCCAATGGCAGCTTAACCCACTGTGCCACAGCACTAACCCTTCCCAAGCATTATGTTTTAAATCTTGGTTTTCATTTGTTTTTTAGCTGGCATCTAGAAACATGACTGACAGTTACGTCCTGGCCTTATGTCCTGTAGCTTTGCTGGACTTGCTGGTCACCTCCAGGAGTTGTTCTGCGCCTTTCTCTGGGCTGTAAGCAAGCAGTCTGCAACCAGAGCAGAGGCCTTGGGCTTTTCCAGGTCCGATGTCTTTCTTCTGCTTTTATAACCGCTGACCTGAACCCTGGGAACCTGTTCTATCAATGACAGTTTGTGGCTGATGACAAGCGTATGAGAGCGCTGTTAGTAAAGAATTCTATGGGAAGAAGTGAAGAGACAGAAATGCCAGCACCTGATGGACCAGGCAGGCGGCTCAGTAAGGGCTGAGAGCCCAGCTGCATTCAGACTGGGCTTTTTATGGACACAACGTGGGTTCCCCTTTCTTCTCCCCTCCTCCCCATCCTGGGGAGTGTGTGTGTAGGGAGTTTGGATGTGGGATTCTCTAAACAAACCCCACTGGACAGTACTGGCCATCGAAGTTCTTAGCTGGAGAAGCAAATGACTCCTTCAGTGCAGTGATTCTAACCTTGTTGGACCAGCTGTATCGCTCCCTCAGGTCAGTGAATTCCTTTTACTAAAGGCCAGGCAAGGGCGCCTTGGCTGGGGGAGACAGACAGGGGCTGGGCCCTGCTCTCAGGACGTGTTTCCTCGCTCCATTGCATGTAACTTTGTTTTAGAACTTCTGTTAAACTCAGAGGCTGCTCGCTACCTAGCTGCCTTAATGCTTTGACCGTCTCGTCTCACCAGCTAGGACTTTCAGCACAGTATTTTATGGGAGAGCTGAGAGTGCTGAGCTCTGCTCTTGGGCTTGTGTTTTTTGTTTGCTTGTTTTTAAGATTTATTTATTTGAGAGGCAAAATTACAGAGAGAGGGAAAGACAGAGAGAGAAAGGTCTTCCATCTGCTGGTTCACTCCCCAAATGGCAACAACTGGAGTTGATCTGATCCGAAGCCAGGAGCCAGGAGCTTCTTCCAGGTCTCCCTTGTGAGTGCAGGAGCCCACACGCTTGGGCCATCTTCCACTGCTTTCCCAGGCTAGAAGCAGAGGGCTGGATTGGAAAAGGAGCAATTGGAACACGAACTGGCACCCATGTGGGATGCTGGTGCTGCAGGGGGAGGCTTACTCTACTGTGCCACAGCGCAGCCGCTCACTCGTCTTAGCTGCAGAAGCACGCGCACTCCAGGACGAGTGGGTCTCTAGCTGTCAGTTCTTCCTCAACTCCCTCACCAGGCACAGTCTGCAGACAGCTGTGTGTCTTTTTGTTTTCTTATTCCTGAATGGATATTATGTTTTTCTGAATGCTTCTTCCATGTCATTGATAAGATCACGTGTTTTTTCTTCTGTAGGCTGTTGATATGCATGATTACATAACTGATTGTCAGGCTGAGCCAGCCCTGCACCCTCAGGCTGAGCCCCGCCTGGTCAAGGTGTGATTGACTTTGTATTTGTCACTGGGTGTGGTTTGATAACTTGGAGGAGTTCTGCACGCTATGTTCACGGGGATATTGGCTTTTAGCTTTCTACCCTTACAACGGCTTTGACCCCCCCCCCCCGCCATGTTCCATCAAGGATGGGGTCCAGTTGCTGTTTACCTGTAAACATTTCGTAAAATTCACCAGTGAAGCCATATGAACTTGGAAATTTACTTTTGGAATATTTTAAGCTAAAAATTTAATTTTCTTAATTACTACAGGGTCACGCAGATCATGTGTACAATCTTGAGTGAATTCTGGTGGTTTGTGGTTTTGTGGAATTGTTGAATTTGTGTGGGTGGCGTTGGTCATGGAAGTCCCCTGTCATCTTTTTCACGTCAGGGCACTGCAGAGACGCGTGCTGTTTCATTCCTAGCGTTGGCCATTTGCATCTGCTCTCTTTCCTCACGGTCACGGTGGCTACAGGTTGTGATTTAGCGATGTCCCCATAGAACCAGCTTCTGGTTTTGCTGACCTTTTGTGTTGTTTTGTGGTTTTCAATTTCATTGGTTACCGCTTTTACTTTTGCGATTTTTCTCCTGTCTGATGCTTTGGGTTTATTTTGCTTTTCCCTTTTTGCCTCTCTTAAAGTAGGAAATTAGTTTCTTAATTTGAGGCCTTTGTTCTTTTCTTTTGAAATTATTTAATGCTGTAAATTTTCCTCTAATCATGTTTTAACTTCATCTCACACATTTTGATGTAGTTTATTTTTTCAAAATACTTTCCAATTTCCTTTGAGATTGCTTTTTTTTTTTTTTTTTGACAGAGTGGATAGTGAGAGAGAGAGAGACAGAGAGAAAGGTCTTCCTTTGCCGTTGGTTCACCCTCCAATGGGCGCCACAGCCGGCACGCTGCGGCCGGTGCACCGCGCTGATCCGAAGGCAGGAGCCAGGTGCTTCTCCTGGTCTCCCATGGGGTGCAGGGCCCAAGTACTTGGGCCATCCTCCACTGCACTCCCGGGCCACAGCAGAGAGCTGGCCTGGAAGAGGGGCAACAGGGAAAGAATCCGGTGCCCCGACCGGGACTAGAACCCGGTGTGCTGGCACCGCAAGGTGGAGGATTACCCTAGTGAGCCACGGCGCCGGCCGAGATTTGCTTTTTAACCTGTAGTCCAATAATTATTTTTGATGGGAAGATCTGATAATCCTAGGCCTGCAAGCCCTCTTGGCAATTCTTTGGAATTGGGTATGGACACCGCCACCCCGTCCGTGCAGCATGCCAACAGTGTGCAGTGTGCCAACAGTTATTCACAGTGTCCTAGCGCTCTCAGGTCCGTGGGTGAGTGGATGCTGGTGGCACTGGCTGAGTGGAAGGTCAGGCTGGTGAGCTGTGGGAGGCCTTCCAGATGTCACCGTGCAGCCAGAAGGCCCTGGCCAGGAGTATCGCCGTGTCCTGGGATTTACAGGGAACCCGATCTGGGTACAGTAATGAAGCAGGGAGCCTGCTGACCAGAGCAGGTCAGCCGGTGACGTGGGGTGGGGAGGCCGCGATGAGGAGGGGATGTGAGCTGGAGGACACTGTGTGCGGAGGACTGGATGGTCAGGATGGCAGTGTCTACACAGCACGGGGAGGGCTGGATGGTCAGGATGGCAGTGTCTACACAGCACGGGGAGGACTGGATGGTTAGGGGCAGTGTCTACACAACATGCGGAGGACTGGATGGTCAGGGGCAGTGTCTACACAGCACGGGGAGGACTGGATGGTCAGGATGGCAGTGTCTACACAGCACAGGGAAGACTGGATGGTCAGGGGCAGTGTCTACACAGCATGCGGAGATACTGGAAGGCTCAGGAGGGTCAGTGTCTACACATCCCGGAGAGGACTGGATGGTCAAAATGGCTGTGTATACACAGCAGGGGAAGACTGTATGGTCAGAGGGAGCGGCTAAGTATCACGAGAAGTGCATGGTG